TACATTGTGTCGTAATATAGTGTTTGGAAACGGTTTGTGTTTGTTTAAACCAATTTGTTGGAAATCACTATTAATTTCACTAACGCATCGTTAAAATATTTTTTATCATGCAGGCAAGATGTTTTTTTGATTATCGTGTCACATGGTTCAAAGAAGTAGTATGATTTATTGAGATATTAAAAGTAACATTGCTTATAGTCTTCTTTCTATAGATTAACTTGACAGTTTTCGGATTAAGAACACATTTCAAAGCAGAGAAAAAGAATTTTTATGACGGTTCTAAAGCGAACATAAAGTTTTATATCTTTGGGACAAGCAGTGTTAATGGCACAATGGGAATATAACATTTTGAACATTATTTGTTTTTAGTTCATTAATATTTAACTCGACTGTTCATAATCATTTTAATATGATAGTTTGAAAAAAATATACAAAAAAACTTAAATCATAGTATGTAATTATAAAAGGTAAAATTTTTATAGTCATATTACAATAATTGTAATAAAAACGACAGTCCCGAAGCATTTAAAATAAAATTAATTGTCTTCCCCCATTATCATTAAATTTTATGGCCGAAAAAAATCCTTTTTAATAACTATTGACCTCGTAAGGGTCTGACGACCTTTACACAGATATCTCTGTAAATCTGACCGAGAACGAGTTAAGACCGTTACAAATACTTGGACTACAACTATTGACATGGAGAAAGCAGTGTAATTTATGTATGTACATAAACAAATACCCGTTGTGAATAACTTCATAAAGTTATAAATGCTGATTGGGAAATAACACGCATATGAATTCACGCGGTTATTTATGTTGTTACTGCAACTGTTGTATTTGCAACGTTCACTTTGTTTCGATTATGTACGATTTTGCAATTTAAAACAACAAAATAATAATTGTATTCTTGTTTTGTTGACACAACATTAAATTATATGCAAATATCATGAAAAAGCTTCACACAGTAGTAGTAAGTTATTAACCAAGTAACTACTCTATAAATAAATCCTAGTAATACGCCACGTGTTCTAACAATACATGTCGACATCTTGCCTTATGTAACTTTATTTGGTTACGCGTTAGCACTTCAGCGAAGGGATCAACTTCTTTTATTAGTATATTTGGTTGACTTCATAAAATACTGAACAAACATTTGAGATACACGCTTATCAGGAATTTCATTAAGCATTTTAGTTGTTAATGTTTTATTTTAGTTGACTGTCTATACATATACTACTATATATACGTCATTTAGTCATTGATAATTTCTTATGTGACAAAAGTAATAGTTTATTAATAGTTATAGTTAATTAATGATTTAAATAATGATTATTACCACAGTATCAAAAGTAAAATATTTTGTCACGTTGCCAGTAAATCATAAGGGCTCTTTAAGTATAGGTTAAATAACGGAATCAATCGTTGATAACATTTCAAAGTTCCAAGAGCACTCCGTCGACACAAATTTAATTCTGTTTGACACTCCATTCATGATCGTAGTATATGTTTACATAACCAAAGCTAGTATAAACATACCTCAGAAAGCTGCCCAGCTAGCGGTTTGTCTCATTTCAAGCCACTAAAACAGATCTTATCTGAGATATTAAATTTCTGTACCGGTGGTTAAAGTCTTTTCTGTAATATTTATATATATATTTATGTTTTTTTTAAAGTATATAATAAAAAAAAAATCTTCTAAAACTTGTATCAAGCGGTTTTTACTTTACTTAAATCAACTTTTCTGAAAATTTCAGTCTTTCACTTTCTAATGTTATTTTAACATGTGTAGCTTAAAAAAATGTTTAATATCTTGATAAATGCAAGGAGTATTGATAAAAAAATTAAAGTAAATACAATTTGAAAGATTATTTAATTACATAGCGATTGCAGTAATTGATATTTATTACACTAGAAATGTAATTTCTATGATTAGTTTTATGCAAACTTAAATGAAGGTTTTACTGACAATAGAATATTATCTAAAATATTTCTACACAAAATAAGATAAACTAAAAGAACCTTGGCTTTCACTCACGTCTTGATGTTAAAGTAAACGATTCCGTGCGCAGCGGTTACATTTTTCCTTTTAATAAGTGTGTACTTACTACCTTACACAAATTTTTATATACATATATATTATACATACACATACCTAACTTTGTGATATAAACATATTTCTAGAATATCTAACAATTCCAACAGACAAATCATTGAAGCAGCTATTTTACAAGCTTTGACAAAGAACAGATAACAATATAGCCAGTTTTAGATATTTCCCTAGGCAATTGAATTATTTGTTCCCAAGGTTCAATAGGACGCTTACTGCATTTGGTCACCCATTGGAGAACTCGATTTTAATTTGGGTTTGAAGCGTCAAGAATCATCTTGTGCTTGATCAATGATTGAAACGTCGCGAGCTGTGAGCATGGGCTGGCGCGGGCGGGTTGAAGCGTGACGTCTGCAGTGACACCCGATAGCCCATGTCACGACTGACCCACTTCCAACCAAGGTCATCGTCTGACCTCCTAATCCTCTATTTCCGTATACTTGGGTCAGTGCAGACAGATTTTAATAAATCACTGTCATGGTGCAACATCATATGGTACAGCGTGTATTAAAATAACTGCCAAAATACTGTGTCACTTATGACAGTTGCAATATTAATGTTGAGTACATTGAATAATTTAAAAAGGAATGCTTATCATCAACTCTTATTGTTATTCTATAGTGTTGAATATGAATATAAATTGTATCTGAAAATGAGTCAGGTGTTTCAAATGTAAAATCCAAAAAAGTAAAAAACGTCTTTATAGCGGTACAATTATTGATATTCAGGTCGTGATCAGATTGGAAGAATTATTTTAATATTCCTTTTTTTGTTTTAAATGAAACAGACTTTTGAACAGCTAAGGCGGGCTATAAGAGTGAAATTATGTTTTTGTTGCTTAAAACTGTTTTTGCATCGGAGACGTTGTTGATTACGGTAACCAGAGTAGTTTCTTGTCCGTTGTGAAGTATTTTAGTGGAAGTGTACTTTTAGTACCTATTAGTATCGAGGCTGTTTGCTGAGCCGCCATGGTGTTGTTTGATCGCAACTGTGACAGATTTAAAGATAGGGCGCCAATCAGAGCGTGTGCGCACCGTATCACAGGCTTTCTGATACACAACACAACACACTTTCTAATCTGCGTCTTTTGTCACTAGTCGCCTATTGGCTAGCTTGTTATACCAGACTTTCGCCGATTGTTTTCACGCTACATTAGATATCCTCTCGTCTTCTTGCTCATAACAATGAAACTGTAGTTACATCATAAAAATGCGCACCAGAACGAACTATCATTAACATTGTCCTTTTATAACTCAAGTTACATTCCAACAAGCTAACCGGCTACTTGAGCTATTAAATTTAATCTAAATTGCGGTTAGTTGGATCACTAGTACAATATCATATTGCTAGTTTAGCTGGAGCTCGCTTCCAACGATGAATTCGATACGAGCTATCTCAAGTTCGAGTAGGGTGTGAAATAGGAGAGCGGATGGACAACAAGCTTAGCCGCAATGGCTCTCTTGATAAGGAGATGTGGATGCGTATATTGGTAGAGGAGGGCGGGGCGGCAATGCGCGCGGGGTAGGTAGACCGGTCCTTATACCGGTTTCTTCCTACGTTGCTTGCTGACATAGGACTAACCGTTTTATTAGTTGAGCTATGATCCATAAATGATCGCCACCGACCGGAAGCATCATTCCTGTAGTATTGCTCCCGCAACGATATACCGTATAAGTGTCAATGATCAATTTAACCTAAATGACAAAAGCTTAAACAAATATCAGTTGTGCAAGATCTTTTTTGCCAAAAGCGGTGCCATAAATGAGCGGCGAGGTGTTTGTTTAATAGTTGGATACTATAAATTTTAACCTTGCTACTGTTGTAACCAGTCAACAAACAACACTGGAAAAAAAACATAATAATTGTCTTGACACAGGTGCATATTTCGTAATAACGTTTTGCTCTTTATGACGCCGTCATTTTAAGTTATATTATGGTGGAGTATTGACTTCACAGACTTGAAATTTTGATAGTGTTTATGAATATTTATATCTATATTGTGGAAATAATATGCTGATTGATAGTGAATATAATATGAATAATATGCTAATTTTAACTCTAATATCTCTATAAACGCAACATTGTATGTTTATTGATTAGTTTAATACTTGTCATGTGACGTACATTCACTCAAACTGTTGGCAATTGGAAGTAATCATCATTGAGATTCTATTTTCACTATCAGTGATTGACCTTGTGTTATTCTATTTCAACGGCTCGTGCGTGGCAAGGTGCCATCGCAATGTTTTGGGTACACAAAGCAGAGAGCGGCACACTTTCGCATCTCAACAACTTTGAGGCCCGTCAGTCCACCGCTGTGCGACGCTGACATGAGTTTTGGGGCCTGTTCTTAGATATTCACTTTAATTATGAAACGTGGTAACCAGGTTAGCCAACTTACAGTGCGTACAAATAAAACGTGTGAATACATCTACATTATTTTATCAAATCATTTGTTCATCAAGGCTTTTCTCTTTCAAAACATGGTGCTATGTCGGACGAATTGTCGTTTCCGGAATTGCGTATCCGTCATGGTACAAAGCCTGGATACAATTCAAATACATATCGACTGACCGAATTATTTAACATCAATGACTATATCAATAGTTAACGCGGTCTTTTAATGACTATGGATAACGGTAGCCAGATAATAAAAGATATAAAAAACTGATCACTCTATTATCATACAAATAATACTATTTAAGACGACGTCATTGAGATCTTGGGATTCACCTCCAGTCTACAAAACGATACAATCATGACAAAGTTTTATTTCCTTGTAGGCGTTCAGCGATCCGCGATAAAGCTCGATACAAAAAATGGGTTTCAGTGAAGAAAATGTGAGCATAACACGCGATTGGTCATCGAAGTATCACAGCGGCTAAGTGCAATGTTTGAGTCTCTCGTGTCGCGGCTCACGTCGCCGCCCGTGTCGCGACGGAGACATACGGTGCATGCTGCAAGGGAGGTTTGCAGCGAGCCAGAGGAAGAAGCAGCACCAGTACAGCGTCGTTCAAGGGCCGCTAAACAACTATTAGACAAGCGTCGTAAAGCAAGACTTTCATGTGCCGATCTTACCACTGCTACAAATGGGGAACCCGAACGTACATCGCGCATGGACGCGCTCAAAGCTTTCTTGCCATTACGACAGTCGAAATCCCTTGGAAGACTCGACGGTCTCAAAGAGGTGAGTGTTGAAAGTAAATTTATTTGCTGAACGCATTTGGCGATCCTCCAAAATAAAATTTTACTATGACATATAAATTATAAAATAACGCATTCTTTGGTACAAGAAAAAGTATTTACGAAATGGTTTCGTGATACATTTATATATTTTATAATCTTTATGTTTATGACTGGTTAGTGTTTAATCCAACATTTAATATTGTTAAAATGTAAATAAATACAACATTGCTGCAGTGTATATACACAAATATTATTTATTGCTATATGAATTACTTTATAAAAACCAACATATTGCGAAACAAAATTTGTCTTAAGCGTTACTATGAACTATGACATCATAATGGCTTATAAAAGATAAGACAAACAATACCTACAAGGGAATCGACATTCGTCGGCATGACTTGAAAAATTCTGACATGCTTGAATCGAAATGCAATCTGAGACTTGAGGTGCACGGTTACGGTGTCAGTACCAACTGTGAAGTTATTTGATGTGTAATGTACTCTCGTGATAAGGTTTAGTTGTTTATGAAAAAAGTAATTAGTTTGATTGAGCGATTTGAACTAGTTACTGTGGGAAGGGCCGGTTTTGACAACTGAGCTACTCGTACGTAACTCCTACTTTCTGTGAAAAAGATACGCCAGTAATAAATATTGGTAAAAAGTAGGATCATATGAATCTAAAGAGTTTACTTTTTTTTTAATCCTCGAGACTTGTCATCAGTATTAAGCTTTTGTAATTTATTTACTTCGAAGAGGATATAGTTTTTTAATTGTAGTTATTTTTATCGCTATACTGACGCTTAGCTATCTTAAAGGGAAATATGTGTCGTGCCAAAATAAAAGAGTAGAATTGAGCTTCTACGCCTAAACTGGTATTTGGACATTTTCGGTAAAAAAAAAAAGACTTTAAAGACCTGTCCGTTGAATGATAAAAAATTAACAATATCTTATTAGATAAAATATTAAGGTATTAATCAAGTCAGTGGTGGCTCAGTGGTTAAAGGGCCCGCCTCTTGTCGCCGAGGGCGCGGGTTCGATCCTGGCCCGGGCAAGTACCAATGTGATTTTTCCGAATCATATGTACTTTCTAAGAGTATTTAGACACCACTGACATACGGTGAAGGAAAACATCGTGAGGAAACCTGGACTTATAGTTTCACAATTATAAGTTTGAAATCACCAACCCGTCTTGAGCAAGCGTGGTGATTAATGCTCAAAACCTTCTCCATGTGAGAAGAGGCTATGCTCAGCAGTGGGCGTTAATAGGCTGATGACAACCAAAACCTTTCATTATTACTATTGATTTAAGATTGTATTATTTAATTCAAAGTTATAACTCCCAATACGATAATTGATATTTCTATATTGATATTATAAAACCTCATAGCGTGTCATAATCACTTGAAGGTTATTAATGAACAGGTTTTCTGCATTAGTAATTACGATGTCAATCATCACAGAAGATGTTTGATCCAAGACTAACCTGAGAAGAACCGTTACGACACACGCGAACCTCTGATATTCCGCAGATAGAACAAGAATGCGATAGTCAGGTAGAAGCAGGTACGCGCAGCCTTGAGTGGAGATACGCACACACGCGTCCAAGAGATTGTGAGGCTGTGTGTGTGCTATTTGCCCATGTGATTTACAGACAAATGCCACGTCGAGGTGCGCATCTGTTTGCCGCATTGTAAGGATATCCAGACGCGTCAACGCCTTTTGTCTGCCGCATCGACATCTGCTCTTGGAGAAAGAAGTTCTTATTAAATATATTACCATACTTGTAGTAGATGTTGCATCAACGTACGCTATACGCTCATTGTAGTCTCTGATGGATATCAATTTGACAAGCCTGTTGGCATTTACACATGCTGGCTTATTTTTAATTTTGTAATAATTGAATTCTTTGATGAGAAATATCTCATAGGATCTAGATAATTATTTTTTATCCCCCGCCTTGTTAAAGTAAAGACATAATGTTATACCTTTTGTCCTCATTAATTATTATAAGTTTATTGATAAAATTTGTAAAAATAATGAGCTTAGACAGGTAATATACAACAGGCACCTTAATTTCTTTTACCATATAAAACTATTTGACTTACAAGAATCGAATAAATTTTTAATTACTTATTTACATATCCGTATCTTATGAGTTATGCTTATGACTAGACTTAAGAAAATTTGTATTTGAACTCAGATAAGTTAATTTAATCGTACGTTACGGAATGTGCTTTATACCTATTATTATATTATTGTTTAGGTACTACTTGGTTTGGGAACTTTATATAATCGATTATAAATACATAAGATTTTCGTGACATTTGATGTAGGAAAGGATTCATAGTAAACAGTAAAACTTTGCAGTTGAGATAAAAATATTTTTGTTGGTTAAATGGCTTGATACGTAGTTTATACTGTGATATTCAATATTTATTTCGAAATAATTTCGCCAAATTATAGATATATATCTTAACAAACTTGTATATTTGTCTAAGTACTTAGTCATTGGAATTTATAACTAAACCAGTTACATTATATATAATATATTTATAGTTGGTTAAATTAATTTATTTAATACTCATATTACGAAATGAACACTCAAACAGTGCTCATTGATCAGATATTAAAAACAAACCAGTGAATATGTATGAGACCTTAATTTAGACTTGTTAATAAGCTTGCCAACCTTCGAGATAAATGCACATACAGAAATATAATCTTAAAATAACGATGGTGTAAGAATAAGCAGTGAATATTTTTCAAAAGAATATATTATGTTCATTTTTATAGCCAACAGATTTATAGCTTTATTTTTTTCTATGTTACACTTTTGAAAAGCAATATGCGATGTTTTCATTCGCGTTTTTTTTCATTATTGTTATTGTTACGGTAATTAAGAAATATTGACAAAGTAACAAATGTCTAGGGTCTTTGTTAGATGTAATAAAAATTAATATTGAAAAGGTTTTGAATGTTTGATTGATGTGGTATTGATTCGTATAGTTGTATAAGTTCGGACAGCGAATCGAAACTTGTTTCGTTAGTGTATTTAATTAATAACACGACGTCCTACATCCAGTAACCTTAGATATTGCGTGCCATTACATTTATTTGTTTATGAAGTTTGTTTGGCAATGACTTGAGTTAAGGATGAAATTGATTTGCGATCACATTTAGTATGACTGTTGCAAAACTGAGACTCAAATTTGAACTCGCCAGGTGGCGGAATTCGCAATAGATATCAGATAAACTTTTAAATTTTGACCTTAACATTACAAATTAAACCGACTATAAATTGTTAATTTATATATTTTTGTATTATAACATCTAAATTACGTAATGTAATTTAATAATTATTTAATTTAATGGTGTCATTTTGTCGTTATTATTACCAGTTAAGATAAATTATTTAACTTGTTTTTCAATTAACATTTAGTTCTGTTTATTAATTTATTTCGTACTCTTATCTTAGTTACTATTTTTATATGATTGTTAAGAGTTTCAATGATTTTATGCTATTCCGTCAATATAATTTCCGCAATAGCCGTGTCTATAACACAATAGTGTTTAATAACAGTTTTGAAAAAGGTCACGGGAAACCTATTCTATAAAATTCTAAAGTTATCGCTTAGAATTTTATTTAAGGTTATTAAAGCGATAAGTAGTAGCTTCGTGTATTAATATAAGACCTAAAGAAAAAAGACTGGTGACAATAAAAATAAAGTTTGCATTACGCTAGATATGGCACTAATTTTATTATAAAGGATTACTTAATGATTGTAGGTCCGAAAGACTTCAATTATAGATCTAACATTAACTATACAGCGAGCAAAGCTGCGGATTCAATCTAGTTGAATCTAATTATCATTACCGTAGACAATAGATCTATCCAGCTGTTAATATAAATAGTATTACACCTGTCATTATGACATTTTTTTGGTTTGGCAACTGTTCTACATTACAGCTGCATGCTGTGTGCACATTTAATGAAACTATTAGCGATTGTTGTGTCACAGCATTCATGACTTCAATAATCGGTAAAATAATTAATGAACTGAAATAAAAACTTATAAACTATATAAATGTTACTATTATTAATTTATTTAATGAATTTCTTTACTGTCTGTATAAAAAAAACATTTTGTTGTTCATTAAGAAATTTTTGAATTTTTATTTGCACGCATAAAACATATATTTGCTGTGTCACTGCAGAATTTTAATCACTTATGTGTTGATTGCTTGGAATATAGTAGAGATGTTCCGATTAGTCGGCGACTAGTCGGTAAAGCCGACTATCCGGCCACTATTGTAGTCGGCGATTAGTCGGCGACTAATCGGCAAAGAGCGCCGACTATCCGGCTTCTTACGTTGTGTGTATTTATCAATAACATGAAATGAAAACCTTGGTTATACAGGGTGACTGGTGAATTACTATCGATATTTGAGGACGTGATATTTGACGATCATATATGACAAAATAAAAATTAATATAACATAAATATTAATAAACTTCTAAGTAAAGTTAACCAAAAGTTATGTAATTAATTACGCATCGTGTGAACACCCTACAGATTAGGTATACACTGACACTCACACATACGCGTGTCGTGACGTAGTGTTGTATCAGCACGCCGCCGCACGCGTCCACACTTGGAACACTTGGAACGTGTCAACACTTTATTTATTTATACGGAAATTTTGTCAAAAATTAAGTGCCTATTTTTTTTACATAATTCGAATGAGAATCATGTACCGAGTATGCTCCTTAAATATTGATAGTAATTCACCAGTCACCCTGTATATTATTTTTTTTTATTTTATCATCAGTTTTATACATTGAAAAATGTAAAGCAAACTTTCCTTTGGCAAACAGTTTTTAAAATTACTTGCTTGTAAAAAAAAACATTATTATGACATTTGTTGAACAAAGTTAGTTCCTATCCTAATTAACATAAAAACAACATAATATCTTCTTATCTTCAATGAACATTTATAAGTACATATTTCTCATTATTTAAATAAAAAGTATATTTTTTAAATTAACAAACTCAGTCATATGTATTAAAGCAAGTTTGTATATACAAGATGTACAGTAACATATGTATATATTATATACTATATCCAAAAATTCTAAACATGAACTGTTTGATAAAAACAAAAAAAATGAAAAAAACATATTTCATTGATGACACTGAAGTTGACGGAGTAAGCACTGCTTTAGGTAATTCTTCTGCTGAGATTTGAGACTGGGTGGAATCGTCTCTGCTTGAAGATTTGATAGCAGAACCTAACTGATATAACAGGGTTGGATGTTTATGTTTTATATGGTTGTTCATGCTTGTAGTGTTAGCTGTTTTCCCTTGCCCACTACGAGAAATTATGACTTGGCATTGGTTGCACTTCACTTTACGGGAATCATTGTCCAATTGTTCAAAAAACATCCATACACGAGATTTTCGTTTTGACATCATTAAATTTTAATTTTAAATTAAACTAATAACGAACACATTAATTTAATTTTCTTTATTCATAAAAACGAACGAAGATTAACTAATGCACAAATGGATACATTAAATAGTGAACTTGAAATTAAAATTTCGGAGCAAGATGTTCGCGGAGACGTATTGTTTGTAACTAAGCGTTACGGAAAGCCCTGAAACCGTAATCGGCTTAGCCGATTAATCGGCCGACTAGTCGGTCTTATTACAACCGACTAATCGGCTAGTCGGCTAGTCGGCAAAAGTCGTAATCGGCACATCACTAGAATATAGTATTAAATTTTGAAATGCCGATTATTTCTGTTTGCCGGTGACTAAGCCTTCTCTAGGGTCGTCAAAATCAATTTAAACTGAATCGAATTAGTACAAGATCCTTGACATTTAAAACAACAAATGTTATAAGGACATGTTCGTTCATGTATCTCTAAGTATATTTGAATGTTCCATACAAACTGGAGAGTATTAAAATAGCTTTTTATTCTCAATACATGGTTACCGTACCAAGAGTGTTAATGGCAATATCTTGCGTCGACACCAGTCCTTGGAGCCTGGCGGGCCGTGGAATTCGCACTCGTACCCGGGCTACACCCCCCCCCATATAGACCTCCCCCCTCCTAGCCCCCACTTGCCCCGCACGCGCGATGTACTGAGGTTATTACACTCCACACTCACTATCCATCTTGAAAGCATGCTACCTACGCGTACGCACCTCATTGTTTGCTGACACAGCGTAATTTTACATTACGTGCTCCAACACCTTACAACTTATTTGACTTTGGTTTTATAATAACAATGGAATTGTAATAGATGATACACATTATCTAATCGTTAGATGATGTTCATTCATACTCGTAATGTATTGTCACCAAGGCGACTGAAATGTGAATGGAAATGAACGTATCTCATGCGACTTACACAGTTCCATGATAAAAAACATTCTCGTTATTCTTTCTTAGTTATAAGAGAAATAAAATATGGTGTGTAATGTTAGTTGAAGGTAATCAAGGCTCGGTGATTGGCGGGCACTAAGTAAGGGACAGGAATAAGAACTCTATTAAAATCGAGAAGCAAAAACGATACACACAATATGATTGTGTATTTAAATGGTTCTTGTAATTACTGTAAATCTTTAACCAACGCTTCCCAGAGTTCAACAATGATCCACAAAAAAAAGCTTTAACCGAAGTTGTCATGTAAGGATTGAACTGGTGATTGTAAGATTTATTTTAAGAAATCATAATGTGGCTTTGTAATTATTTCCAAAGGAAAATATTAAACACGTAGAGGTTAAGGACCATACAAAACATTCTTTTTACACGATGTGTTTATAATTACAGTATT